AAATGCCCCAAAGTATAGACTCTCACACATGCTTAGAAAAAAACTAATTTTAAGAAGTTTGTTTATTAACGCTACTTCATTTTACTAGTTTATCGTTTATCCTTGTTAAATGCAACCTCATTCTGACATATGGATTTCTCATGTGAAATTCCAACGCAGACTTGATTCAAAGCAGAATACATTCAGCCCTTGAAGTTTTGCTCATATGCAGCTCTTCGAGTCGTCATGTAAAACCTTCAACATTTTGATGACTTGCACCTGCCTTACAATATTTTTGAAAAATCTCTGGCTACTCAAAAATTGCTTCCCCCCCCCAATATCATATCCTATAATGTAATTTCACTTCAAGTTTGCCAAAAGCACATGAATAGCTAGGATGGCATAAAGAAATCTCGTCCAATCAATGAGCATACAACAGTTTAATAAAGGCAAATAACATGTACTCATCCGAATCAATCGGAGCCTGTTTTCTCCAAACTTGTAAACAGCTGCAGGCACAGTCTGCTTCCCATCAAGTGTTCCATGTATAACAAACTATACCTTGTATCTCTGATGGTTCACTAGTAATTTTTCAAAACTGTAACTTTCGAAACATATGACAACTATATTTTATTGAAGAAGGGAATAGGCTTAGACTGCCCAAGTCACAAATTGAAGACCAATCCAGAAACTGTATCGTAGGTGCCAAAAGTCTGCTGCATGTCAGTATTTTCTGGCATTTTTATTATTACGAATACAAGTGCAGACCAACTTCTTCAAAGAAGCAACACACTCCAAACACGGCAGAAAAGCAAAAGCACACAAGTCCTATTGTAGCAGCACAGGAGCAGAGAAAATAGCTCCTTTAACACTGTATGGAAAAGGTATCCCAAAGGAATAGTTCCAAATGTGTTTAAAAGATGGACTCCTTAAAAATAAATTCTTGTCTTACACTGTAAGTCTGTGGTATCAATAGTGCTAAAATAAACAGTAAATTTGAAGGTCTACTAAGATTTTAACTACCGCAAACATGAAAATTATCCTTAATGAGACTGCTGAAGTATGGAACTTCTACCCTCCAAAATTATTGTGACTTTTTTCCAGTTCATTCACAAAAAATCCTTGCATGCACAAGACACAAAGGAAGCTATCTAGACTTCGAGAAACATTTTCAAATCTCTAAAAAGCATTAAACTATTATGAGCTTAAATCGGGCAGTATCTATTGTGCTTGGTTGTATACATAAGTCCTAGACCTTTAAAAAACTAAACAACTGAATATGCTTCTGACAGCTGATTTTGCACTCTCAGATTGTGACTGTTACGAGCTAAAATGTATACATACATACACACACACACAGACTCAGAACAACAACAAATAGGAAAATAAACAAACAGGAATAAACAAACAACAATGAGCCAGACTGCAATCTCACATACAGAAAAGACAATGAAGAGTAGTCTGGAAAATAATGGGGCATGACTGCCTAAAACTCTTATCCAGGGTACATTAGAGGCAGAGGCTTCTATATTAATAGCTGCTGCTAGTGGGTTATAGACCAAGTTCTCTGTGGCATACAACTCCAAAAGAGCTTCCCCATCACTATTGTGAAGCCTGGTGAAAGTCTGGCAAAGAAAATTGAAATTCTTATCACATGTAACCAGATGCAGAAGAGGAATTTAATACTGCTCCTCAATGTCTTCTGCGAAATTTTTTTTCTGGGAGGAGGGGGAATAGCTGTCTGCACAGTATAACTGGAATTAACGCTCCTAAAAGTGACATTAATTGCCATTTTCTTTGCCAGACTTTGCCAGAGTTTGCTTGTTTCATGCATTTGAGAGTCCCTGAAATTTACCTGATGGAGCTCTAAGGGTGCCACAGGCTCTGCCTAGGTCCCAAACATGCATCACTCAAAGAAGAAAGTGATCTGGCCACAAATTACCAAACACTTACTTGCATTATATTTTGACAGTGAAACTGAGCACATAACTTTGAGAACAATGGCAAACTGCCTTTGCAACTCGTAGAGGCTGCTGTCACAGCATTGTCAAGCAATGGATGAATTCCTGAACCTCACAAATCGAGGTTCTAGAAACATAAAGAACTCAAACAGCTACATTTCTTTTCTAACATAATTCAGACATTAAGAAGTGTACGCTACACTTGATGCATGACTTCAGAGAAGATTAACTGCAAATAACTACCAAACAGCTGTATGACCTGTTTTCCAATGTGTTGGAAAGATGGACAGTCCATAATGTTGTGTCTTGAATTTCAGCT